AATTACTTGAACTTTAAACTCTGGTCAATCTTAGAGAAAAGTTTTGATCTATTTTGGCTTGGTTAGGCCCTAATTTGCCTTAATGGAAAAAACCGGGGAAAATCGAAATAGTTTTTTTTTTGTGGTATATACTTTGAGTGCTTCGTCCGAGTGCCTTTAACCTTTCAACACTGATAACTTGATAATGCAGCTTCTGAGCGGATTCAATCTTAGTGCTTTGTGTATTTTGCGATATCTGTTTTTTCTAAGATAAGAGAATGCCTCTTTAAGTTGGCTTAAAACTTTCAAAGTTGGTGATTTAGTGGATGGTTTGAGTTTTGGGCTATACCTGCAGGAATTTACCATGCTGGTAGACAGTAATAAATTATACAAACAATTCCATCATGCCAGTTTTTCCATTTTTATAGAAAAAGTTTCTTAGGATTTTAGCAAATTTCATGTCGGTTTTCAATATTGCTTAAAAATCACTCCATAGGTACTTGTTTATTATAATTAAGAATATGCCTTGTAAAATGTAAAAATACACCATATGAAGTCCTGTTAGGAGCAGAACATTAATGAAAATGGTACTAATCAAACCATTCTTTAATTTAAGGTTTATATACAACATTTATTCACATTTGTGGAAAGCATTTGATTAAACAGATAATTCCATCATGTCAACTTTCAGTTTTAAGATTAAATATTGGTTGCTGCAAAAACCTGAGCTATATACTGTGTTTTAGGATTGAACGCTTTAAGAAATTTGTTAGTGTTGAATAAAATTACTCCCACTATATTTTTTTTTTTGCATTTTAGAATAAGTAATGGAATAAATGCCCTGCTGCCATAAAGGCTTCAAGCACTGTTGAAATTAAAGGGAACAGAGGGTCCTATAATATGCTATAATTGTTTTTTTTGGACCTGACGAGCTGTTGGAGTGTGAGCAGGGTAATTTGTGAGGGGATTCAGGGAAACCGGTTAGCCGGACTTGAGTCCTGGAAATGGGAAGTACAATGCCTGCACTTAAAGGAGGGGTTTGGGATATTGGCAGTTTGGAGGGACATCTAAGCTGTCGCAATCTGACCGCTTCTGCAAAGACAGTGATTATGTATGAGTGATGGTGAAAGTGTTGAATGATGAAAGTTTTCTTTCTTTTTGGGTCACCCTGCATCGGTGGGAAACGGCTGACGTGTTTATATATATATATATATATATATATATATATATATATATATATATATATATATATATATATATATATATATATATATATATTCTAGGTAGTAGGTTGGTAGACAGCAACCGCCCAGGGAGGTACTACCGTCCTGCCAAGTGAGTGTAAAACGTAAGCCTGTAATTGTTTTACACGATGGTAGGATTGCTGGTGTCCTTTTTTCTGTCTCATGAACATGCAAGATTTCAGGTACGTCTTGCTACTTCTACTTACGCTTAGGTCACACTACACATACATGTACAAGCATATATATACACACCCCTCTGGGTTTTCTTCTATTTTCTTTCCAGTTCTTATTCTTGTTTATTTCCTCTTATCTCCATGGGGAAGTGGAACAGAATTCTTCCTCCTAAGCCATGCGTGTTGTAAGAGGCGACTAAAATGCCAGGAGCAAGGGGCTAGTAACCTCTTCTCCTGTATATATTACTAAATGTAAAAGGAGAAACTTTCGTTTTTTCTTTTGGGCCACCCCGCCTCGGTGGGATACGGCCGGTGTGTTGAAAGATTATATATATATATATATATATATAATGTATATATTGCACACTCTTAATCATGATAAAAAGTACATGGAGTAATTTTTAAGAGTATCGATGACCTAAAGGAATTTGGTGAAATCCTTGAGTTATAGCTAAGGTCTTTTGAGACTTTCAAATCTCTCTAATCGAGATTTTGAGTTGACGTAACGGAAATGTTTGATCAGTTGCTTCCCACAAATTTGGAGAGAATCTTGCATATACAGGTTTCATTGAAGGTTAATAAACATCTTAATGACTGCTCTACTTCCACAAGGACTTCACACACTGATGAAATACGAGGAAAAAAGATGGCCTTATAACAGCCGGAGAGCCCACTCTCAATGTAGTGACGACTTTTTTTAACCGAGATTCATTACACAAACTTTCCCGTGCCTAAGCGCACGAATCCAACCATTTCATCTGAAAGTTTTCTTGGCGTCAGTTTCCCTCCATTATGTGGCGTTGAATAACCTGAACAGATGGGTTTAGCTCTCTTGTGTGACCTTCAGGTTCTTTGGTGCCAGTGAATGGGCTCTAGATTTCAGAAACCGAGCTTCCCTCTACTAGGATCAAACCTGATTATCGAATACTCTCCAGGCGATAAATGGCCGCTACGAGTTTCAAATTTCCTCACGAATATTTTCTGAATATTTTCGCATAAAATGCTTTAAACATATGATATTCTTCGCTTCTGTAAGACATGATGCACTTAACTCGCTTTTATGACGTATTCTGAAAACTGTTATAGGTGCTGGACACAGGTGTATGCACAGTTTTGCTTAGAATAATGCTGGATCACCCTTGATGGGAAATGGTAGATTCTCCATAAAAAGTAAATGCGTGTGAAAGTACAACTTTCATCTTTGCTAAAGCAAATAAAAGTTAGATTAAGTTATAAAGTTAAAATCTTCTAACTTCAGACTGCCTTCAGTCTCTCTTTAATTATAAAATATTAGATATTACGTTTATTCTTACAATGATAGGGAAGCATTAAATACGTAGGGGGCGTCATACAGCTCGTGAGAAATGGAAAGTACTGTAATTATGAGTGATCTAAGGAAGGGTAGCTCCAATTCCTAGGGTCAAGGCGATCACCCCCCTCCCCATATCATCTCCCTCTGAAATTAATTAATTTCGTTAAAATTTGGAATGAAAGCAAAAGAGGGTGAAGGGCAGGCACTCGGTGCTGGTGAGTGGCAGTCTAGACTCCTCCAGGTGGTCTTCGAGCTGGTGAGGGACTTTTGATCAAAATAACTGGCCTGACCCTTTGAATCGAAATTGATTGCCTCTCGGATCCCCAGGCTCTGTATGACCCCGATCCCCCATACGGGTTTAGCACATCATTCAGAATTAAATTTTTATTGTGTGCGTTAATAGTCTTAAAACCATTTGAGACAGACTGATTTATATACTGGAGACAGTGGAAGATAGGTAATCTCTGTATTAAACTGAAGGAAAGTTACTGATTGGCGAAACGTCTCGTGTCCTATTCATGAACTTTAAAGCTATATAATTACGTATTAGACTCGTGGGGAGCGCCAAACTCGTAGGGGCTAGATAGAACCTACACAAATTTACATCACAGGAATATACCGACGAATATGAGAATAATAATTTGCGGTTTATCGCATTTTATTGAGAAGACGTTTGGTCCACCAGAAACTTTTATCAATTCTCACAATGATCAGGAAACATATATATATATGTGTGTGTGTGTGGTGTGAATATAATGCAGAGAATTCGTAGTTTGGAAGTTAGGAGGAGGTGCTGGATTACCAAAACTGTTGTCCAGAGGGCTGAGGAAGGGTTGTTGAGGTGGTTCGGACATGTAGAGAGAATGGAGAGAAACAGAGTGACTTCAAGAGTGTATCAGTCTGTAGTGGAAGGAAGGCGGGGTAGGGGGTAAAGGAGGTTTTGTGTGCGAGGGGCTTGGACTTCCAGCAGGCATGCGTGAGCGTGTTTGATAGGAGTGAATGGAGACAAATGGTTTTTAATACTTGACGTGCTGTTGGAGTGTGATCAAAGTAACATTTATGAAGGGGTTCAGGGAAACCGGCAGGCCGGACTTGAGTCCTGGAGATGGGAAGTACAGTGGCTGCACTCTGAAGGAGGGGTGTTAATGTTGCAATTTAAAAACTGTAGTGTAAAGCACCCTTCTGGCAAGACAGTGATGGAGTGAATGATGGTGAAAGTTTTTCTTTTTCGGGCCACCCTGCCTTGGTGGGAATCGGCCAGTGTGTTAATTAATATATATATATATACACCATGTGAAGAAATAACAATCTTCACATGGTATATAGATACCAGCAGTGGTGTCCATGGTCAGTTTTATTTTTGACTAGTTCTTTGTGGTGTTGGAAGTTATGTTGGCTTTGGTTAAGGATATAAAGAGTATTGTTTGTCTTAACAGGCTGAGCTACAAGTTTCACAAGTGTGGACTCGAGGATCAACGAAGACAGAGATGCCTGCCAGCAATATGACATGAACACCGCTTACACTACTGGCAGCAACACAACTATTTGCTGAACTTTCCCAATGCTATAGCAGTTATCAGGGAAGTGGACAAGTGCAGTAAACTGCACTTGCAATTTTCTGGTTATCACGACAAACTCCCTCACACAAATAGGTTCATTCTTAATTTTAGAATCACTGGGTGAACTTATTCCCACCAATTATATTACTGCTGTTACATAAAAACTGTGTGGAGGAGCACTCCAATATACCTATTGCTCCAACATAATTTTAAAGGTCAGACAATTCCATTTAGTTGAATGTCGTTACAACAGGTGACATCATCCACCCATTTCACCCCATGCTTCTCTGTATATACACAGTTTCCTTAGTGTGAGAACTGGTACTCCCTGGTGGACCAAACTTCTCATTAAAATGCCATAAACGGTGAATTGTCTTTTTCACATACCTCTGGGGCTTAAAGTATTATAATCAAAAGTGCTAAACCACAAGGGTTATACAGCTCTGGGGCTTAGAGGGGATGGGCAATCATGTTAAATTCACCAAGGCTCAGAGGTCTGGCCTCAGTCCTCAAATTAAAACAAAAATATTCACCCCCCCTCCCTTTCTCTTGGGATACATTATTTTTATCATGGAGAGCGCTAAACCCGTAGGGATTATATAGCGCCAGTGTGGAAGACCTTCAGGCTTAATTTAGTGAATTAGAGTACATTCAATTCCCTAGATCAAGAGCCCCTCACCAGCATCTAGACCCTCCCTTGAGGGGGGGGGGTCTTTGGATAAAAAAAAACAAGTTTAATATCAAGATAATTTTTATTCAATCTTCAATACAAAATGACTGACTAATATATATAGGCTAGGCAATGATAATGGCACTCATAATGAACATGACACAGTTATGTATGTACACATGATTGATGTAGTGAAGGTTACCCTTAACCCTCCCTCCCAGAGTCTCCCCTCATCTCCCCAGTACAAGTCTGAACATCAAAATGGTATACAAGTCTACTGAGAACTTCACCTAAGCATTGATATTTTTTACTTTCAAACTGATCAAATTTGAGCATGTCTGTTTACATGAAATAAATTTTACTAAAATTACGAATATAAATCTGCTTGAATAAATAGAAGAATGGGCGGGGATTCGAACCGTAGTCCATGTATATCGCTCTGTCAGAAGTGGTTGCACCCTTGGGACTGCTATATGCAGGGACTACAGAGCCCCCGTACATGCTTTTTTCATTGGCCGTGGTTCATTACAGCTTTATTTTTTTTTCAGATGCTTCTGCTTGTATACGCCAAAAAACTTATGCTTCAAATATATACAGTGAAATAAGATATTTAACAAGGCGATCCTTTGGAACTGCAGTGGTGTTGAAATGACTGCAATGGATACATCTACTAACGACGCAGTTTTGCCAATGTGAGCGAAACTTTATGGTTAGTAAACGTTTACAAGTGTCTCAAGTTTCCCTAGCTAAACTACATTTGGCTGACGTCAGAGTTCCTATTAGAACCAATTATCTTTCAAAGAAAGTTTGCGCTGCATAGTGTCTCCGTCTCGCCCAGTTGTAGCAGTCTCCCCACAAATACCTTTCCATACAAATCCCTTATAAAATTCATTGTTTAAATATTTTAAAGAATTATTCACCAACTAAAGTACTAATACACATTACACTGCACAGAATCAGGAATACATAATGTATATTGGGATTATCGATACATTTCAGAATAGGAAGGATTTCACACTAACAGGTAAGTGGACAAAGAATATGCAGAATAAGCTTTTAATTTGGAAGTTTCGCTGCGAGCGAAACCCTGTCGTAATAAAAGTTTATTCATCATACCTGTTCACATTAGAAGGGAAGATTATTATTATTATAATCAAAAAGAAGCGCTAAGCCACAAGGACTATACAGCTAGAAGGGAAGAAACAAATCTTTTAACACATGGACATTACAGGGAGAGTTTTCGATAACTCAACCCTACAAAATTGCTTAAAAATACCAAGGTTCACTGCTTGAAATTGTATTATAAGAGGTATTATACAATAACAACAGCTCTTATAGCAAGAATGAATATAAAAATAACCAACAACATTATAAATAATTAAGGGAAAACAGAATTCTGAGAGAGAAATTTAGTCCTATACGACAAAAATATTACACGTATCAAAAGCTGTTTAGGCTTTACCTAGGGTAGTATCCCCATGCTAAACAAAACGGTACCAGTGATGTATTAAACTGTTGAAGAGATGTACATGTTATGTATCCTCAGCTCCTGTCAGTATACCGTTTGAATGCAAATTTATCTAGTACCTCAGACGCCAACTAGGAAGTAGCCTAGACCACAAACTAAGCCGGTGCTTCAACGATAAAGCTGCATAATGTAAACTTTCTGTAGCAGTTTCTAGGTCAGTTTTCTATATAAATCGTACACAATACCGAGAAGCTGAAATACAATTTGGTATCTTGTTCGCCCGTGCAGCAGACTTCAGTTAAATAAAAAGGACGTCTTTTATACTGGAGACCACGGAGATGTGATTTTTAGGCGTTTACTCCATTAACCTAAATACCTGATCAGGCTATGAAGGAAAGGCGGGGGGGGGGGGGGTCAGAAAATACTTCCTCACTGTTTCCCGTATAAGAGACTCCGCACTCGCCTTTAAAAGACCGATGCTCAGGCGAAACATTCCACAATAAGGATACCAAGTGTTGAACATCTTATCATATTTCACCTTCACTGACAATTTTGAAATGCTAAACGTCATTGAATTATCAGTGGAAAATAGTTTTATGAAATAAGTGTATGGCGACTTTTGTACTAGTGTCTGTACACACGGTAGTATGTGTGGTTATGCACCATTACTCTTAAATGTCATTCAACTCTTAATTCCAAAATTTTAACACTACTGAGCTACTCTGTGAACACAAAAGTTTGCAGACAGTAATGAGAATGCACAGTAAACTTTCATCGTGACTATTTCAGTGTGTGGTTTTTATGAATCCAGATACAATAATACGCCTGTGTTTTGGAAGGTGAGGTGTGAAGGTACGTTAAGTACAGTACAGGAGCTATGCAGGCCTACTATTTAGTACAGCATATACGTCGGCTAATTTCGTGGAAACGTTAACTTCTCGATTTTTTTTTTTGTTTAGACTAAAACCCTAATGTGCGCACTGCTGGAGAAAGTTGAAAAAAAAAAAACTGAAGTATATGCTGTACTAGCGAGTAAGTCTCCTGCACAGCTCTGCTTTTTGTATCACCTTCCGTCTCCTCACAACTCCCCTTGACCTCCGGTCTGGAACTCTCCTGCCAGTGTTGGTTTTATATCGAATGGATAATCTGTCAAAAACAACTCCAAATCTTACTAAAATTAGTTCTCTATTTTGTTTTTCACATAGCTTTCCAATGCCCTACTCACACGACCAAATGTACAAGGTATTTTGTCATGCCAACATGTACGTCAAAAATCATTCTTCATCCCTATTGCTTGCACAGATAGTACACGATATATACCTACCTATAACCAGTGTTTAGTGTTCAGGATACTTTCCCCAGTTAAAACATCTACAGTAAAATGTTTACATCTTCATATCACTCTAAATATATTAATCCAAATACTCTTGTGTATCCTGTATCTATCCTCCTGCCCGTTTAATATTAAAAATTGGCAGCCATACAATGTAATCCTTAACTGTACATCGGTTTTGTTTTCAATTATTATTATATCCAGGAAGATTTCTATTTACAGTTCAATCTACGTAGGTAATATAAAAAAGTGTGATAAATCAGAGCATGATCTCTCTTACTGGCCAACCACTCTCGTAGACGGGATGGTTAACTAGTACTATGTATATACAAAGCCTAGTTTTGTTGAATGTCTGAGGCACAAATTTTCATTAACTGAGGTGGGGGAAAAAAAAGTAGAAGTGGTGCAGGATGTCTCACGCATCACTCCTCTTAGTGTCTGTTTCTTTGTCTACCGCCTAAAAGCATTAAGTGATACTCTGACAAATAAATGAAATGGTATTTACACGGCATGATATGGTAGCTTTTACAAATCACAGTTGGACCTTCGTTCCGCTAACTAGAGGCAATCCCTTCAACAGTTATCTTAAACCATCCTTTGATTAAGTCTACCCTCACTGTCAATACATCAGTTGTAATGCAAGTCTATAATAAAAGTTGTGGAGGACCTTGCACAGCTTGTTAAGGCAACACATTTCAAGTGTAGCTTTTGTATGACATCTTCCTCAATAGGTCACAAATGCACTAGTTATGTGCATTAGTTTCAAGAAATATATATAATTCATTTTATCACAGGTGAGGAAACAGTTCAAGTAGGGATTACCTTTATACTATGTAGGGACGTTGACACCTCTATTGAGCATCGCCCACCACCAGCCACTGAACGACTTTTCCCCGATGTTTGATGGAGCACAGAGGCTAATTCCATATTATTGTATAAGGCAGATCCATCTGCACGAGAAGGGCACGTATGGAGTGGCCAGTGGACGGGACTAGACCACAGGTGAAATACACCAGATAAGGCACATGGTTGACACTATTGAGGTGTAGGTCACTTTCTCCTGACAGCAGATGCAGGTGGATCAGTCGATCTCAGTGCTGTCCCTGGACTGAAGAATCCCAGGTGCAGGAGTGTTTCCGTGACCCGGGCCACCAGTGGTTCACGGTACTTCCAAATAGTGGTGTCCAGAATAGTGTGGTTCTTGTATTCTTGAGAACACGACTTCTTGAGAGTAGTTACACAGTCTGCGCGGTAGTGCTGTAAGTGGGCGTCTTCAGTGTCTATCGCATAAGAGGAGCAACTTCCACCAAGGCAAGACAGAGGAAAGTGATTATGGAGAGTTAAAACTCGCTCTGGGTCGTGGAAGCATTTAACATACTGACCAGGTTTAGTGTAGTTGTGAGAGCGATAAACATGTTGCAACATGTGCATATAATGCGGAATCTCTCGGAACCAACCATGAGTGTGTCTCATCGTGTCCATGAAGTAAACATTCCGGACATTGTACGAAGCTCGTGTATCCTTCTTCGTCTTGAGAGCCTTGGGTACAACTGTTTCCATCAGTGACTTCCATGTCATAGAACTTTTAGGCATGATGACTTCATCTGTATCAAGAAGAGCAATGTATTTATACCGGTACATATTTTTGTAAAGACAGTCGTTATAGGGGATCAGTTCATTCTGACGCTTGTTGGTGACCTTAGACTTGAGATACATATGGAGGAGTCCAGGTATGTTTGGCTGTTCCCCAGGCAATGTGAGTTTCATGACTTCTACACGTCCCAACTCTTCATAGTGCTTTAAAATCTTACTTATATTGGGGTGAACTTCAAGCTCATAGAGAAATACTTTATTTGCTCCTAAAATAAAGAGCATCTCCAGCCACTCTACCAATCTCACACTCAAATCGTCATGTAGAAAATCAAGCCCTTTCACGCACACTGCAAAATTTTCTTTCTGACCTCCCTGAGGTCGATTGTTTATAACTCTGAGGTTGGTGGTGGCCATGTCACAGGGACGTTCCACTAAAGACACAGACTCTGGCACTAAGTGACGGTAACCAGGTGGTACCTGGCATGCTATCAGGTATGGCTGAAGCAGCCCATTCTTATAGTTCCCCCACTTCTTATACCAAATATATTTATATTCCCAAACTTTTGAAAACACCGGTTCCTTGTGTCCGTCAAACCACAGCTGGCAGTAGGTCTTCACCTTGGGATCCAAACGATCAATCATCCCCAAGGTACGAATCACTGGTTTCATTGTCACCAGAGTCCTGTTATCATAATAAGAACCAAAGAGATGAAAAGTGCCATTGCTAGTTTTCAGTGTTTGCCAATACACGTTATTGAAACTAATGTCGTAAAGGGAAGGGAACTTCGCGCATGTTTTGTTTTTTGACAACACTTTTCCTTTATATTTCTGCCAGTAACGAACTGGAAGATTAGGTATTTCAGCCTGGATTTGTTCGGCCAGAGCCTGTTCCGACAGTGAGGGAGACTTGTCGACGGATGGCTCTAGTTCAAAGGGGTTGAATTCCGTAGTGGTGTTGGATGTGGTCTCAGTGGTAGAAATAGGCGGAGATCGCGTCTCCACTATTTTCTGCAACAAGAGACGGCCCGTCATCGTCCCACCACGGCTGAGCCCAGACTCTTCTTGGCCAGAGAACCTGCAATAACATCAAGAATTAGAGTACTGATAACATAACGCAAATGCTTTATTTACCCTTCAACATTTAAGTGATAATTCTGAGCACCTGAAAGTGTACACTAATACTCTTAACATCCTCACTGCATTAAGCTATATACAAGGCAAGAATTAAAATGAAAAGAATGAGTTAAATCTCGAGGCAAACGTATCTGAAAGTGTATGACCCTTGTGGGTTTAGCGCTTACATTTGATAATATCTGAAGCAACTTTCCCACTAATGTAGGGTGTCAAGGCAACCTTGTATCTTCCTTGAGCTGAGAAACTAACATACATGATGTAATTTCACAAATAGTCCACACCTGAGAGGAAACTGTAGACAACGTTTCTGTATCCTGGACAAACCGAAACGTCTTCTTTGTGACGTAATTTACCTGGAACAAGGTGTATATCTTCCACTAAGTGTGCCATAATAAACTTGAGACACATATGCAACAGTTAGGTATCTTTATTCCGAAACGTTTCGCCTACACATTAGAGTTGTAAAGACGATGTAATCAGTCCCTCAGCTGAGGGACTGACCACCTCAAAACTCAAGTTTTCAAGGGTGATGGACTGATTACATCGTCTTTACATCTCTACTGTGTAGGCGAAACGTTTCGGAATAAAGATACCTAACTGTTGCACATGTCTGATCAACCTGTCGGTATTCACTCACAATAAACTTGCATATATACAAAATCACTATAAAATCATACTTCTTCTAACGATCAATGTTTTGATTATAAATGCTACTACTAACGATCCAATTGACACTATCACTAGCAAGCTGCTAGTGCCGTCGCTAGTGCGCTCTCGTATAATATAAACCATCATCACAAACTGAGCAAAACTAGTCAAAGTCTATTCTTCACATTTTCACGATCCATAATTCTTTTTTCCGTGTCAGTGGCCATAAATGGGGAGAAATTCAAAATGGTTTGTCACTATATATATATGCAAGGAATTCGCGAGAGCAGGCGAAATATACATAAACACTGATCTCTGGCTGAAGGAGACTCGAACATGTACAAAACTGCAAATATCCCTATACCTCCTTCAGAGTGCAGACACTGTATTTTCCACCTCTAGGACTCAAATCTGGCTAACCAGTTTCCCTGAATGTCTCTAAATGTTATCTTGCTCACACTCCAACAGCACGTCAAATCATCAAAAAAACACTTGCCTCCACCTCGCACACGCTTGCTGGATGTCTAAGCCCCTTGCATACAAAACCTAGATTTTATCTTCTCCCTCCAACCTTTCCTAGGACGACTCCTACCCCATCTTCCCTCCATTACAATTTTATACACTCTCAATAATCCTATTTTGTTCCTTCGTCTCTAAATGTCCGAACCACCTCAACAATCGACCCTCTAGATAATATCTTTTAGTAGCTCCGCACTTAATCTCCAAGCTGCTAATTCTCTGCATAATATTTACACCACACACTCCCCTCAGATATGACATCTCCACTGCCTCCAGCCTCCTCCTCGCTGCAACATTCACAACTCATTTATAACGTCTTCTCTTGTTCAGTAATTCATACAGGAATGGTTACTATTTCCTCACTGCCGGCATTATAGTTGCCTTTTACGACACGCATGACTTAGAGCAGGGATTCTACGCCATGATGTTCATGGATCAACGTGACAGCTGATACAAACATGCTGCATATACTAACAGCTGGTACACAATCATTATGTTTTAACCTGTGATTAGTTTCGAAGACTCTTCTACCCCCCCCGCGGCCCAGCATGAGGCCAGGTTTAACTGTTGACAGCCTCGATAACCTGGCTGTTTGTGCTAGCAGCCCACAGATCCACATATCACAATCCGGCTGATCCGAGACTTGTATCAGGAAGGTGTTCATCATACACATGCAGATGGTGTATATACTTCATGATGCATATAACAGCTGTATTTTGATTGGTCTAGTTAAAATATTTTAGAAGTACAAAGACCTGTTAACTCTAGCAAAGGTTTGAGTCTCTTTGATAACACGAGAGAGAAAGAGACTCACCTGACGAGGACGTAGCAGAGAGATCCCCACAAGAGGATGTAGAGTGCTCGCCGCAGTGCTCTAGTTGGGCACCATCTGGCTACCCTCTTGGCTGTCACCATGACGCTCATCCCGCCCTCTGAAATACACAACCAAGGTTACATTTATACTCAAACACACATTAAATCATTAGTGTTACCTATTTGAAATATAATGCATGAGCATAGCGTTCTATTTTTTTTTAAATTCACTGGGTACTACATACGTTATAACGAAATCTAACCTTAATAGAGGCTATTTCAACTTTCATTTGCTTCAATTGCATAAAAAAATAAGATTGGAGGAAGACTGCAACAGGCATTTACATGGCATTTATCAATACTAAATTCTATCCTTCATTTTTAACGCCGTATCTTAAATTCCCCCCCCCCTCGCCAAGCCTTCGTGCACAGTCTTCACATTATTTTCGTTTCCTACTTGATGTAGTATTTTGACATCATCGAGAAACAATTTACGTGTGTTGACTATCCAAGTCTCTAATTTCAACCCGCCGATATATGGATACGTGAAGATATATGCTGGTTAGTGGATATTACACAGGGTGTTCCGGAAGTCTGGAACCATGTACAGGGTGTTCCGGAACTATGGAACGATGTACAGGGTGTTCCGAAGTCTGGAACCATGTACAGGGTGTTCCAGAAGTCTGGAACCATGTACAGGGTGTCCGAAAGTCTGGAACCATGTACAGGGTGTTCCAGAAGACATTTTATAATATTAGGTGACCCAGAAGTCTGGACTCTGTAGCGAAAAAAGAAATTTACTTCAATTTATTTATTAAGAATATAAGACATGAGTGAGAGCTCCCCCAACACACACAGGAGCGGATCTATTATGAAACAAATAATGCTTAAGCTTCAGGGCGAATTTAGTTCACATTTCTTAAAAAATTTCGGTCTACAATATAAGAAGGGGTTGCGAAGGGGCCCCTCATAACACTTCAAGCTTCAGGGCCCCAAAAATGTAGGTGCGCCACTGCACGCACGTGCGTGCGTTCACACTCAAACACACACACACACACACAGGCCAGGAGCCGAGTCTCAACCCCTGCAACCACAATTAGGCGAGTACACGACTTGCTACGGGCCCATCGCTTCTCCATGAAAATATTAACCACTGGACAGGCAGATTTGCCCAGCTACTGAGTACAACAGTGACCTTTAGCTCTAGGCTAGAGAATGATCAAGTATTCTCCCTCTCATCCGGAGCTTAACCCACAATCTGTGAATTACTCAACATCTTATTAACTATCCAGCCTAGTCTAAGACTGTCACGGACTGACGATGCTGCAGGACAATGTGATTAAAATTTTTAATATCTTGATTATATATATATATATATATATATATATATATTATATATTATATATAATATATATATATATATATATATATATATATATATATATATATTAGTAGGTTGGTAGACAGCAACCACCCAGGGAAGTACTACCGTCCTGCCAGATGACTGTGAAACAGAAACCTGTAACTGTTTTGCATGATGGTAGGATTGCTGGTTTCTTTTTCTGTCTCATAAACACGCTAGATAACAGGGATATCTTGCTACTCCTACTTACACTTTGGTCACAGACACGCACATGCATATATATATACATACATCTAGGTTTTTCCCCTTTTCTAAATAGCTCTTGTTCTTCTTTATTTCTTCTATTGTCCATGGGGAAGTGGAAAAGAATCTTTCCTCCGTAAGCCATACGTGTCGTATGAGGCGACTAAAATGCCGGGAGCAATGGGCTAGTAACCCCTTCTCCTGTAGACATTTACTAAAAAAGAGAAGAAGAAAAACTTTATAAAACTGGGATGCTTGAATGTGCGTGGATGTAGTGCGGATGACAAGAAACAGATGATTGCTGATGTTATGAATGAAAAGAAGTTGGATGTCCTGGCCCTAAGCGAAACAAAGCTGAAGGGGGTAGGGGAGTTTCGGTGGGGGGAAATAAATGGGATTAAATCTGGAGTATCTGAGAGAGTTAGAGCAAAGGAAGGGGTAGCAGTAATGTTGAAGGATCAGTTATGGAAGGAGAAAAGAGAATATGAATGTGTAAATTCAAGAATTATGTGAATTAAAGTAAAGGTTGGATGTGAAAAGTGGGTCATAATAAGCGTGTATGCACCTGGAGAAGAGAGGAATGTAGAAGAGAGAGAGAGATTTTGGGAGATGTTAAGTGAATGTATAGGAGCCTTTGAACCAAGTGAGAGAGTAATTGTGGTAGGGGATCTGAATGCTAAAGTAGGAGAAACTTTTAGAGAGGGTGTGGTAGGTAAGTTTGGGGTGCCAGGTGTAAATGATAATGGGAGCCCTTTGATTGAACTTTGTATAGAAAGGAGTTTAGTTATAGGTAATACATATTTTAAGAAAAAGAGGATAAGTATAAAATATATGATGTAGGGCGAAATGACAGTAGTTTGTTGGATTATGTATTGGTAGATAAAAGACTGTTGAGTAGACTTCAGGATGTACATGTTTATAGAGGGGCCACAGATATATCAGATCACTTTCTAGTTGTAGCTACACTGAGAGTAAAAGGTAGATGGGGTACAAGGAGAATAGAAGCATCAGGGAAGAGAGAGGTGAAGGTTTATAAACTAAAAGAGGAGGCAGTTAGGGAAAGATATAAACAGCTATTGGAGAATAGATGGGCTAATGAGAGCATAGGCAATGGGGTCGAAGAGGTATGGGGTAGGTTTAAAAATGTAGTGTTAGAGTGTTCAGCAGAAGTTTGTGGTTACAGGAAAGTGGGTGCGGGAGGGAAGAGGAGCGATTGGTGGAATGATAATGTAAAGAGAGTAGTAAGGGAGAAAAAGTTAGCATATGAGAAGTTTTTACAAAGTAGAAGTGATGCAAGGAGGGAAGAGTATATGGAGAAAAAGAGAGAGGTGAAGCAATGTAAAAAGAGAGCAAATGAGAGAGTGGGTGAGATGTTATCAACAAATTTTGTTGAAAATAAGAAAGTTTTGGAGTGAGATTAACAAGTTAAGGAAGCCTAGAGAAAAAATGGATTTGTCAGTAAAAAATAGAAAAGGAGAGTTATTAAATGGAGAGTTAGAGGTATTGGGAAGATGGAGGGAATATTTTGAGGAATTGTTAAATGTTGATGAAGATAGGGAAGCTGTGATTTCGTGTATAGGGCAAGGAGGAATAACATCTTGTAGGAGTGAGGAAGAGCCAGTTGTGAGTGTGGGGGAAGTTCGTGAGGCAGTAGGTAAAATGAAAGGGGGTAAGGCAGCCGGGATTGATGGGATAAAGATAGAAATGCTAAAAGCAGGTGGGGATACAGTTTTGGAGTGGTTGGTGCAATTATTTAATAAATGTATGGAAGAGGGTAAGGTACCTAGGGATTGGCAGAGAGCATGCATAGTTCCTTTGTATAAAAGCAAAGGGGACGAAAGAGAGTGCAAAAATTATAGTGGGATAAGTCTGTTGAGTATACCTGGTAAAGTGTATGGTAAGAGTTATTATTGAAAGAATTAAGAGTAAGACGGAGAATAGGATAGCTGATGAACAAGGAGGCTTTAGGAAAGGTAGGGGGTGTGTGGACCAGGTGTTTACAGTGAAACATATAAGTGAACAGTATTTAGATAAGGCTAAAGAGGTCTTTGTGGCATTTATGGATTTGGAAAAGGCGTATGACAGGGTGGATAGGGGGGCAATGTGGCAGATGTTGCAGGTGTATGGTGTAGGAGGTAGGTTACTGAAAGCAGTGAAGAGTTTTTACGAGGATAGTGAGGCTCAAGTTAGAGTACATAGGAAAGAGGGAAATTATTTCCCAGTAAAAGTAGGCCTTAGACAAGGATGTGTGATGTCACCATGGTTGTTTAATATATTTATAGATGGGGTTGTAAGAGAAGTAAATGCGAGGGTCTTGGCAAAAGGCGTGGAGTTAAAAGATAAAGAATCACACACAAAGTGGGAGTTGTCACAGTTGCTCTTTGCTGATGACACTGTGCTCTTGGGAGATTCTGAAGAGAAGTTGCAGAGATTGGTGGATGAATTTGGTAGGGTGTGCAAAAGAAGAAAATTAAAAGTGAATACAGGAAAGAGTAAGGTTATGAAGATAAAAAGATTAGGTGATGAAAGATTGGATATCAGATTGGAGGGAGAGAGTATGGAGGAGGTGAATGTATTCAGATATTTGGGAGTGGACGTGTCAGCGGATGGGTCTATGAAAGATGAGGTGAATCATAGAATTGATGAGGGGAAAACGGTGAGTGGTGCACTTAGGAGTCTGTGGAGACAAAGAACTTTGTCCTTGGAGGCAAAGAGGGGAATGTATGAGAGTATAGTTTTACCAACGCTCTTATATGGGTGTGAAGCATGGGTGATGAATGTTGCAGCGAGGAGAAGGCTGGAGGCAGTGGAGATGTCATGTCTGAGGGCAATGTGTGGTGTGAATATAATGCAGAGAATTCGTAGCTTGGAAGTTAGGAGGTGCGGGATTACCAAAACTGTTGTACAGAGGGCTGAGGAAGGGTTGTTGAGGTGGTTCGGACATGTAGAGAGAATGGAGCGAAACAGAGTGACTTCAAGAGTGTATCAGTCTGTAGTGGAAGGAAGGCGGGGTAGGGGTCGGCCTAGGAAAGGTTGGAGAGAGGGGGTAAAGGAGGTTTTGTGTGCGAGGGGCTTGGACTTCCAGCAGGCATGCGTGAGCGTGTTTGATAGGAGGGAATGGAGACAAATGGTTTTTAATACTTGACGTGCTGTTGGAGTGTGAGCAAAGTAACATTTATGAAGGGGTTCAGGGAAACCGGCAGGCCGGACTTGAGTCCTGGAGATGGGAAGTACAGTGCCTGAACTCTGAAGGAGGGGTGTTAATGTTGCAGTTTAAAAACTGTAGTGTAAAGCATCCTTCTGGCAAGACAGTGATGGAGTGAATGATGGTGAATTTTTTTCTTTTTCGGGCCACCCTGCCTTGGTGGGAATCGGCCAGTGTGATAATATATATATTATATATATATATATATATATAATATATATATATATATATATATATATATATATTATATATATTATATATAACCAATACAAATGCATTAGACACTAATATGGATGGAACAAATTCGC